GTCATCAAGCCCCGCCCGGTAAGCATACAAGCACATAACACATCAAAGAGTCATGCAGACATCTAGCATAATACATAACAAACCATGGGTTGAATTGGTGTCTTCGACCCGCTAAAACATAGTGAGGAAGCTCACATCTAGCTGCTAAAATACACAACAAAATCTCTGCCTGTTTCCAGAAAATCCCCACGCTATCATTATCAAAATATTATCCAATTATTAATTGCATCTCGACCCAACCAAAAATTTAAGCTACTTAGTCCATAATTAGGGTAAAATACCATTTTACCCTTTTTCGTACTTAGCCCAAAACCAAGGCCCAACCCAACTACTAAAAAGGCCCAAATCCAAAATGCCAACCCAAGGCCCAAATATGGCCCAATCTTCCAAATTGGGCCCAAAAACCATAATGGGCCTAAATCCAAGGAAGCCCAAATCAGAATTCTGATGGCCCAACAAGGCCCAAACTTAGAAAAACCCAAACTATGGCCCAAACCAAAAAGGCCAAGCCTAAAATGCCCAACTGTTGAGTACGCGGGGCGTACTCAGCTTGTACCCCCAACATACTCTGATCCTCACTAAATCTCTTTATTAGGCACTCTTAATCAGTTAAGACCTTTTTCCAAACTCTCATATTTGGTTCCTAAGTGTGACTTATCACATAAAGTTGGCAACCTTACACTCATGTATGCCTTAATGGAACCCAATACTCAAAAAGAAACTTAATAAATGTCTTAATACATGCATGGACCAATATCCTCCATAAAGTTTGCATTTTTATGAACATTAAGCCTAAATGGAGCTAAGTTCTAGCATCTATTGCTTCTGTAGTAGATCAAAAGCTCATATTTAACTCAAAAGACTCAAAAGTGCATAAAAGACACCACAAACTAGATCTAACACAAAAGCCATCAAGGTGAGAGATTTATATCTCAAATGGCTTGGAATGATGATGATGAAGCTATATTTACAAGCCCAAGCTACTCTCAAGCAACCACCAAGAGTTCTTATTCTTCTTCTTCTTCTTCTTCTTTCACTAAAATACCACCAAAAATCTCACTAATAAGCTTAAAATCTCACAAAAGGCCCTTAGGGTTCATTTTTAGGGCATAAGATGATGGAGCTGATCAAACATGTCCAAGAGGTGTTATAATGAGGTTTAAATAGGGTGAAAATCCTAAAAATTAGGGTTTGCCCCAACCTTGCGTATGCTCAGCGTAATCCCATGTACGCCCAGCTTACGTGGGTAATGCCCACAACCAGCAGATAGTTAGTACGCTAAGCCTACTTATAGAGTACGCCCCGCATACTAGGCAAGGACCCAAAATGAAAAGAATTTACATAAAAGGGCTAAAAGGAAAGTTACCAAAAACATGAATGTTACAAGTTGCTTGAAGCAAAGCGTTGTCCGAGTTTCAAGTCATCAATTTAACAAGTGAGTGCATAGTTACTTTCATCTTACATATAGATATGAAGAATTTAAGATAATCACATGCTATATGTGTCTATTATTTGTGTTCTTGATATCTATGATGGATGAACAATTTATACATGTTTTACTTTATTTAAACTGCATATATATTTTTTGGGAACAAATTTCGTAATATTATTCTTCAGAAAGGATACCCTCATTTTAAATAAGCATAAAAAATTAGTCTTTTTTGCCAGTGACCTAGTTTAACAAACCGATGGCTAACCATACTAGGGATACAAGCCGAGAAATGCTAGAACTTTTTCTCATAATAATAAAAGAAGACTTTCTTAATCCTAGAGGGCTTGTTGATCCACCCCCATCAACCGAAATACCTCTTATAGCCAATTGTTTCCTTTTCTTATTCAACAAACCATAGAAGAATTTAGAATTCTCATCACCTTCCACAACCTATTTAGTCTTCAATTTTTGCATACAACCCATCTTATCTAATTTATCAAGATCCTTTAATTTTTGAAGAATCTCTTATCTCTCGGTCATAATTTCAACTAAGGCAGCCCCGTCATTAACTATTTGGTCAATATTGACTAAACATGAAATAATTTTTTTCTAGTATCGCATTTATTAATTCGCATTTGATCTTGCCACTCCTTGATCCTTCTTTTAACAAACTCTAGTTTGTTTTTAAAATTAATAAAGCCACCATATCTTGAATCCGATACGAAATCATCACATGCTTGATGAATAACATTCGAAAACCCATCCATATCAAGCCAAGAATTGAACAACTTGAAAGAAATAGGACCATAATCGACCGAGTCTTCCAAAACCATGAAGATCCAGAAAAATATCTATCAGATTTTCCGAAACCATTAACCAATCCAAACAACTCATTTTACTACCATCTCTATCCACCCGAGTAAATTTTCTACATCTCATAGGAATGTCCACCAAACCTGACTCGAAAATGAAATCATTGAAATCAATCGCCTACGAAGCAAAAAAAAACCTGAACCATACCTTTCCTCCCTTGATATAGCAATGTTAAAATCACCAAAAAGAATGTAT